GGGGATTTGACCTTGTTCCAAATGAACTTAAATCACAGCCTATGTTTAATCAGAATCCATAGCAGAACTTGCTAAGCGGGTTGTATTTTTTATAATTATATATTCTCCTTCGATTTGATAAAAACATTCAATATAAGGTCACAATCATTATAGTATCTTTGCAATAAGAAGACGATGTTGTTAAAGTATGTACTGAAATAGATAGGAATTGAACCTACGGTGCCTTTAAACAACATTGCACACATCTGTAAATCCATTCCAACCACAACTATCAATATAAATACTATATACCATTTATGCTATACAATTTAGCCCCCAATTAGACAATACTTTTGAAATAAAAACAAAGAGGCAAATAATTTTCCCAAAAAATATTAAAATTCAAAATAAATACAATTAAACGCAATTTAAGTGACAAATTAAACAAAGCAATCAAAGTGAAGTTTAATGAAGTGAATAGGAATTTTGTGGGTTTTTAATTAATGTATTTTAAAGGTGGGATTTTAGTGTTGCTTAAAATTAGTTGGTTAGATTTGGATTTGGCTTTTATTTATTTATTAAATGTTCCTATGCGATTTGAAATCGACATGCGAATTGTAAAAACAAACTATAGCTCCGTGGCCTCAATCGAACTTTAAGTGTGAAAAAGTTTGTCTAACATTTTCATGAAGGAACAGTTCTACAGAAATATGTATATATTACTGGAATTTTTTTTTTTTTGAAATTAGTTATCTTTTAATTCCGTTTGGCAGAGAAAAACCAAAATAAAAATCTATTGCTTTATCGCCAGCATACAGCCATTATATTAACTGCACTGACAAGTTAGAAAAGCGCTCGAAACAGCAGGAAAAGCTTGTAACAAACACATAAAAGCGTATTGGATGACATATTTCGAATTGCTTGGCTCAGCCACTTTCCACTTCCCGCAATAACTTGGCGAAACAATGTCATGTGAGCCCCATAAGCAGGCAACTTATGGCATTGAGTTTTATGCCGAACAGGTGCCTGCTAATCAACACCTGCCTCACCCCACCAACCCACCAACCCACCAACCCACCAACCCACCACCACACCACCACACCAAACACCAGCCATCAGATGGTCGCACACCTTGGCAGCCTTTCCGTTAGCCAGAGCACAACACATCAGGCCCGGTTAGGGAGTGCGTCAGACCCTGTGGCCGCATCAACGCATTGCTCGCTTATTATTTATGTATGAAGAGACGTTAGCGCGACCAGAAACTTTTACGGAGCTGTAAATTTAAACGGGCCAACGGGCGCTGCACATCAAGCAAGCGAGTGGCAAAGGGAACCCCAGCCAGTACCCAGCCAGTACTGGAGCAGGTCCATGTCCAGGCGCCAGCTTCACATAAAAATCACTACAAGAAAATGATTGTTGTTGCCTACTTTGCTGCGCTGCTGGTTCTTTCCTTTCTGCAAGCTCCCTTATTGTGTGCGCCACGATGTTTACTTCCTCTTTGTGCCTTTGTTTTTATTGCTTCATTTTCGATTATCGCGCATTGCACTTATCGCCAACAGCCACCCACCATGCCAACCCCATCAGCACTTGCCTTTGCAGCTTCTTCGTTTCTTCCCCTCCCCTCCCTTCCCCACCCTTCCCCTCCCTTCCCGTCACTACTCGCCTGCCGTTGTCAACATCTTCGATCTTCGTCTGGCGCCTGAATGAAAAATAAAGCGCACAAAAAATGGTAGCATTGGGGTTTAGTTGAAAAATACTCAATCACATTGTTCTAGCAGTTGTTTTTCTGGATTTTTTTTTGTATTTTTTTGTTTTGTTTTGTTGCCCTTGTTGTCGACGTCTGTAATTGTTGCTTGTTGATTTCTGCTGGCAGTTTCGTGCCATGCCAATGGCAGGCAGCACTTTGCGATTTTTCTTCTGTCTTTAGGCAGCATTTATTTTGTTGCATCCATTTTTTGTTGCTTTGTTTTTTTTTTTAGCTCTACTACTTGAGTAGAGCACGCAAAGGCAGTCTGAGACTTTAGGCCGACTAGCCGAGTGCTTTACTTCTTTGGCCATCTCATGCTCAGCTGTAAGTGGCAAGTGGAGAGTTGGCCATCGATATAAAAAGCGGGGCTCGGTGTACAGTGAAGCTTGGCCGACAACTAATGAAGTCTGAAGTGGCCATTCAATTGTGTTCACATTTCCTAGCAACAATCGAATTTAAGCCACTTGTTAAGCTTGAGTTAAAAACATGCCAGCAATTGATATTTAGAAGTTCTTTCAAATAAGTATTTCTCAAAATAAGACTTTAAACCTAACCTAACTTAAGCCTAACTGGAGCTCAGAAAACAAAAAGTAGGTATGTATCTACATTTTTCATTTCTTAAATCACATTTTAAATTTAAAATGTAAATATTTGTGTCATGATAAGAATATTAATAGGTGTAAGTACAATTTAAAGATACAGTAGATGCTGTGTACTTGATATTAAATAACACTTTAAGTATTTTGAAATAGCAGTCAGGCTACTCTTTTAAGCTGCTGATGTATAAATGAATAGATATAATTATACGAGTATATATAAATATAAATATAAATAAATATATATATAAATATATGTATTAACTCTAATGTGCTCGGCCATTATGTGCAAAACTATGTTTTAATAAGCTTGTATTTGAAAGATGTAGTAGTTTTAGTAGAAAGGGAAAAGCTGAAAAGCTAGCTCCAACATCTAAAGCCAAAGCAAATTTCTCCGTCATACAAATATAACAAATATAAGGTCACGGTATTATAAAATATTTAAATAACGTTATTCTGGTTTTGACTTTTCTAAATGGAACTTTGTTCTTATGAGTTTTTAGTGTTGAACTGCAAATTTCTCTTCGTTTAAGACCTCATTTCATTTTTACAAATTTTTAAGCTTCATAAAAGAAGAAAATGCTTCCAATGATTGGACTATTTATGACATAATATATTAGTCAATATTTTCCACTCATCCTACTCTTGTACTCCTTTTTATCTAAATTCGTGTTGGCTTAAAAATTCCTTTTCTAATTCTGTATTATTTCCAAATTATGAGAACCATTTCAATAATTATTATTACAAATTATTTGATTGGATGACTTCTGATCAAATGATACAAGTATTATAATAATTATAAACATTTCAATTCAATTCTCATTTAGTGCCTTTTAAAATAAATTAAACTTGTATTGCCTTTAATTTGAATGAGCAATCGTATCGAACAGAAAACTTAATTGTATTAATATATTTAATGGTCAATTGAATAGTTTTAATTGATACAAAATTTGGGAACACTGTAAAGTAAAACAATTATTGAGTTAGTTTTCTGTGCTTAATAAAGAGAAAAAGTTCCTCCTACTAGGAAAAGAATGGTGGCAAGTAGTTGTATTCAAAAATTATTATCACTATAATTATATATGGAGCTCCTAATATTAAAGCTACTAGCCAGTCCCCAATTCCACTAATTATAATTGGTAAACCGATATTTATGCGATAGATCGTAAATATACTTACTAGATTTTTCCCTTTTTAATCAAAAGTAGAATATAATATAATAAATTAAATATTTATGATAAACAAACTAAAGTTTAAAGTCACTCAAAAGCTAATAGTTATTTCTTTTTTCCTCAATATGCAATACCATTATTTAAATGCCTTTACCATTTGCTAGATGTGGCAACGTATATAGGTATGTAGAATAGTTGATAATGTGCATATTTCAAAAGGCTTAATAACACTAAGAATAGCAATTGGAATGGAATAGGTATGTCCCTGTCACCTGCATTCAATTGCTTTGCTATCTCATCTCTGGCAGCACTAATTTACCTCATCCGCTGCCGCCTAATCGCTTTCTACTGTACCAAAAATAATCCATTTCCCCAGACCCAACTAAACCATACCAGTCCGCCCATCGCCCATCGCCCACCACCCACTCAATGCCTAAGCGTACAAAAACTTAACCTCACCCAATGCAAAGCTACGTGTGCCATTTGCCATTCGCCGCTGAAAACGACAGCCAGAAGAAGAACAATCTGGGTAGGGCCGCCAATATTTCCCACTCAATTGGATGGAGCGTTTGAAAAATTTTCGCCTGCCATTGCCAAAAAAGGCAGCAAGGACAGCAACAACAAATAGTGCAGTCAATGGCTGCCTAGTCCGTTTCCTTGCCTTCCAGTCTGCCTGACGGCCCGGCTGCTGCCTGTGCCCTGCCTCTGACTGTCTCCCGATATGGGCGTGTTCGCTTCCCTCGTACTTCCCTTGTCCTTCCCTCCTGCACTCCCCCCAGGCACCGATCGGTAGTTGGCCTTTTGTTTCAAACCAACTCGTGCGCCATTTCCTAGCCAGTTTTACTTTTTAATTGACATTTGTTTGCTTATGTGTGTGTGTGTGTGTGTGTGTGTATGTGTGTATGTGTTTGTGTTTGCGAGCACTTTGCAACCGGCGGCAGACATTTTTGTAATTATAGCACAAAATTGATTTGATTTTTGATTTTAATAAGTATTGACAGTATTTTTAATGAAGTACATGCATTGCAAAGGCCATTTGAGCTGCAGGCATGTTTCTGCGTCTCGGTGTATGTGTGTTCGAGTGTTTCTGTCTGTGTGTGTGTGTGTATCTGCATAGCAAATCCATCTAAAAGTATGCACATTTAAGTGTAATTGAATATATTGTGCAAATATTCGATTGGGAGACGTTCACACCACAAACTAGATAGCTTCCTCAAAAAGTTAAATTTGATGATATAAAAAAAAGTCTTTTGTAATATGTTGCTATTATTTTAAATTGTATTTTAATTTATTAAAGGCATTAGCAAGGATTTGTAAGTATCCCTCGGAATTAGTTACTACTTCCACCCTGTTGATTATATAATTAACTATCCAGATAACTGAACAAATTTTGAATGCATTTGTAATTTTGAATACAAGTATTGGCATAAAAATGTTTTTGAAAAAATATTTTCCTATACATTCTTCAGTATATGTGTGTTATTGTTTTGTTTTTTGTATACTTACGTTTCTCTTCACCAAACGCTGACACGTCCTGCTTCCACAGGTTTTGAGCCTTGAACGTGAGGTTCCAACGTTGTTTAATATTGCAATAACTGCAAACAAAAAGTAAGATATATAGTAGGATTTAGAATATTCTATACTGCTTCAGTCGTTACATCCGATTATATTTAAATATTGTTCTCCTTATCCTTTTCCTTCATTTTCTTTAATTTATCGCGTCGTTAGTTGGTGATATTAATAGTAATATTAATATTCGAATTCATTTACTGAGCAAGTGTCTCACACATTTCAAAACCCCGAATTATATGAATAATGAAATGAACAAGTTTCTTTACATTAAAAAAAAGTATAATAATATTCATATTCAGACTATACTATACTTGTATTCATTAAAATGAACCAATTTTGCTTGTACGGCTGATAATAATTAGAATGAATAGTACATATACGCACATGTCTATGTTATCTTTTCAGATGAGAAATAATTTAATGTGGAAGGGCCAGATGGCAACAACTTCTTTGTCCATGATATTGGGAATAACAGCAATTGGTCCGCCTCTATAGCTGGATAAGGGCTGATGGTGGGGGGACCATATACTATGTAAAAGACTTCAATAGCGTTTAAAAAACTGTAGCGCCGTACTGAAACATATTTTTGTAAATGAATGGCGTTTCCAGCACGATGATGCGCGAATTAATGCAACCCGAGATAATATTGATAAAATGCCAAAAATGCTATGTTCTTATGTACTCGCAAAACATACAAGGGAGTTTTTCGATGGCATCAAACACTTTAAGATTCACTTTCTTCGGGCGCATTCATCAGGTTTGATAGGATCAAGACAAGAGGTTGATTATTACTGATTTTACCCTGTGAGTGATTTGTCATTGAGATCAACAATGCCAATTGAATTCGATTAAAAGCAATCCGCAAAGTAGTGTGATTGCTGTTGTTTACTTTTTTAAAAATTCACTAAGTCTTACTTGCGACTGCGATTTTCATTGAAATGTCTTATGGAGAATCAAAAGGAATCTTTTAGATGGGAATTGTAATGCTTAAATATTTTTAAATGTTATACAAGTAGATTATATTAAATATATGAGGGCTGTAATCTGAAGACGCGCAATGTATAATAAGCATTCCCATAAAGTATTAATTATAAATTAAACAAAAATCTTCATAAAATTGAAAACTTTTGAGTGTTATAAAAGCATATATTAATAATATTTAATAATACTCGTAATTAACAAAACTCAAATTAACATTAATGATTCGAGTAAATTAATAATAAAATTAAATTTATTAAAAAGTTTTCATCATATGACCTAAATATTTATTAGTCTAAACGCCGCCTAACACTTCAAGTCTTGCATGTTCTTCTAGTGTGTTTGTGTGTGTGTGTGTATGTGTGTGTGTGTGTGTGTGCGTGTTTGCATATGCATATTTTATTTTTGGCATTTTACGTAATTTAGTTTTAAAGGCCGCCAGAGAGGCAACAAACAAGCACGTGCTTGCCTTTCATCCTTTTAGTCCTTCAGACTGCCTGCAAATTTTTGGCTTGAACGCCTTTAAGCGAACGGCCTATGACATAAATTTGCAAATCGACAAATATGTCATGCCCAATACAATGCACAAATACATGAGCCTGAATGTCTGTGTGTGTGTGTGTGTCTGTATGTGTCTGTATGTGAATATCTGTGTAGGTGTGCATTTGATGGACAATGTTTGCTTATCGCTATACAAGCCACACTCCCCTCTACCCCCCTAATGCAGCAATTCGGGCAAGCGAACGAGCGATTCAAGGCTTGCCCTGCTGCCCCGCTGCCCCGCCGCTCCTCCGCCCGCACGTGACGGACGCCTTGTGCGCCTAAATGTATGCAAGATAGCATCTGTTTTCGTCGTATTACCGACTTACACATGTAAGTCAGTCATATTGCAATGCGTCCTCACTGCGTGTGTGTGTGTGTGTGTGTGTGTATCTGTGTATGTGTGTGTGCGTGTGTTTGGGTGTTTGTGGGTGCTTGTGTGTGCGCCTAAGCGCCTACATTCATTACATATGTATGCGTATTAGGCGCAAATATTGAGGCTTTACTTAAACAGCATTAAGCCAAAATTAACATGTCTGAGTAGCATGCCCAACATGGCATACAAAACCGTTGATAAGAGGCGGTAAAACTCCTTCACATCCTCCCCCCAGCTCCACCGCAATGTCCTGCCCTAAGGGCATGGCAGCACAAAAAACTTGCTAAGTATTGAAAATGAAAGAAAAAATTATTTGAAAATTGAAACTGGCCAGAAACTTACACACAATCGAATTTGGAGCTATGAATGGGGGGAAGCGGCGAAGCTCCTTCACCTTTCAATTTCTGCAAAATTCAATCTATCAAGTACATATATATATCTAGAGCATAAAAAGTAAAAACCCTACACAAACACTCACTAACACACAAGCACACAAACAACACACACACACACACACGCTTGGAAAACAACTTTAGTCGCTCGTCTTTGCTGCTAAATTCGAGTCCAAAAAACTGCAGACTGCGTCCTGCCCCGCTGCCGCTCTGCTAGCTTACAGCAGCCAACCAACAAAAATATAACTTTATAAATAAATAAAATTTCACGTGCCACACACACGCACACCATTACACACACACACACACAGACACACACATGCACACTCGCCGCTCGTCTGTGTAATTTCGTGTACTAAATGTGCCAAAACAAGGAAAGACATCGACATCGACACACACAAAGGACAAACACAATGCGACTTAAGCATCGTTACCGTCGTAGCTGCTGCTCGTCCTGCCACTCGAAATCCGTTTCGGGTCGTCGCCTAGAAAGCTTTCGCATGTCCTAAAACTCTTTGAGTCAAAGAGCGCCCGTTCCCCCAAATGAGAGTAACGAGCAGCTCTCTCTTTAGTGGTGAATAACAAAATGGCTCAGAGGCAAAGAGCTGGCCAACAACTCTTCAGTTTCAGAGAGACCCAACATGAAGCCGCACTCTTGAGCATATCCTTGCTGTAGTGTGAACTCAAGTAAAGTTCTGTTATTCTGGACTCATTTGTGAGCTCTTGAGCAATTCTGATATTGTCGCTGTGTTTCAATACTCTTGAGAGTGTCCTTACTATATTGAGAACTTAACTCGAATCTTTTATTTTGGTCTCATTCAGGAACTCTTGAGCAATTCTGATGTATTCAGTTTGTTTCAATACTCTTGAGAGCGTTCTTACTAAAATGAGAACTTTACTCCAACCTTTTATTTTCTCACTCATTCATGAATTCTTGAGCAATTCTGATATTGTCGCTTTGTTTCAATACTCTTGAGAGCGTCCTTACTAAAATGAGAACTTTAGTCCAATCTTTTATTTTCTCACTCATTCAATACTCTTTTATTTTCATGGCCTGGTGCATTTTTCCCCAGCTTAGCTCTTGAGCATTTTCTTCACTCAAATCGGTGCTATCACAGAAACTTGAATACGAGTACTAGAGATCCTAGAGATCACACTTGCATATATAGCTTATTTATAGACAACTCACAACTATATAGGACAACAACGATTTGAAAGTACTACATACTCGTATAAACGGCACTGATATGAAAAACTAATTAATATAAATCAAATTATTTTACACTTTTGTAATATCTTTACTTTTCACAACATCTATCATCGAATACTGCTAAATCGAGAGTGAATACAAATTCAACTTGCTGCTATTTATTTATATATATATTTTTTTTGAACACGTGCATTTTTATATTTTATGAAATAAACGTGTACTTACTTGTATTCCTATGCGTCATCCACAGATGCATATATCTTACACTATATTCTAGTTTTCAGCACCTAACATGGCGAAGTAAAAGCGAGTAGCAAATGAATTTCCATCAGCAGGCTGTGCCTGATTCGGAAAATTCGTTACGATTTGAAATATTAAAAATATTATATTAAATTAATACGCTAATTTAAGCTCTGTAATAGTTATGGAGATTGATTGATATATGTTTAAATTTGCCGACAATCAAAGCGATCTACATAATTACTTATAGTATATTTACAAAAAATTTATTTAGAAGGTATAGTAATAAAATCATTGAAATATTTTTTAAAAGATTAAAATGATCAATGTGTGTGGAATAGAAGAACTGTTGTTCAAATGAATGGAAGTTGATTTATCGCTTATTAATTGTTGAACTTACTTAAACTGATTGCTTTCGTCTCGTTTTTCTGACAAATACAAATTCTACAAAATATACTAATATATTTTATTTTTACCAAATCCCGGCTGCAATTTAGAGATGTAAAAGCGATCGAAGTAAACTGAAACTCTAACATATTCTACTTGGCTGTGTTGTGTCAAGTCCCTAACCATTACTAATGGCCAATGGGGAACTAAAAAGCGACTCCAATTTGCATTTCCTACTTATGGCCGTGTCTAATTTGACATTTTTCCCTCTAAAAATAAAACATATGTATATTTAAATGAGTTAATGATTTTTGGCTAAACTCATACTTTTCTGAGCTACAAAATCTCTAAAAACTTTCAAGCTCAATAGAAAAGGTTCAATATTTAATTTGGTATTGACAAAGCCCCAGTTCTTCTATTGTCTATTTAATAAAAAAAATTACCTTCAAGCCCAAAAAAAAACCCCCAATTGTTTTTCCAAATGCTGAACTTTTAGTTTTATCTTTTAGCATATTTGCTTAAAGCAAGACTTATTTTCAACGATCTGGGTCCAGGTCTGACGTATCGTATGACGATACAGGGGGAATCCATGTTGCCGCGCTTATTATACTTGTAATATGAAGAATATGAAGTACTTGAAAGAGTAGCTGCATTGAAAGATTCAACCTCCGCCGGCCTTGAATGACACTAAACTGAACTTAAAAAAACAAAATAAATCACTTGCTTTAGATTTTGAATACTATGTACGCCAAATTCGATTAGGTATGCTAAATAAAATAAATTTATAAGAAGAGAGGGAGAAGAAGAGTCAGGCGAATCTAACAAATCCCATATAATATAAAATGAATATACCGTTTTATTTCAATTTCTAGCTTTAATTCTTTAATTTAATTTAATAAT